GGAAAGAGTTCAAGTATGTAGCCCTGAAGGGCTAGGATGGCCACATCCATCCCCGCCTGCGCCCCCCTCCGCTTCTAACGTGTTCTTTTCCCAGCCTCCAGGGCATTGCTTGGTTTATTCCGTCTAATCCTTTGGGTCACAGAAGTTCCACTAAAACAGTCAGTGAGGGGCCGCCAAGGAGCGAAAACAAACCCGTCATCATGTGTTCTTCAGGGATGAGAGAAGAGATAGAAAAAATGCTTGTTTGGAGAATCAGTTTCAAATTCAGTCCCTGCCAGCTGTTTCCAGTTAGCTGATGTACTTCTGATTTTAGTGGTTTCTGTCTGTCTCGCTAATATTTTCACCCTCCTGGAGTGGAATGTGGAGGCTTTTTTTCCCGTGGAATCCTAATATAATCCCTGATGCTTAATAAGCCACTACTCAAGTTTGGGGAGCTCCACCTGACTCTGCTGCCAACATATAATTTTCAAAAACTGAAAACATGACTCTTGGGATCAGCAGATAGTGTAGTGATTACGTTGCTGGACTCCCATGTAGTTGACCGCAGTTTGAGTCCCAGACCCAACTGCTTAAAACTCATGCTGAGTGCATGTGTATGCATGTGTGCCCAAAATCCCAAGAGGAGAATGGAGGAGAAGGGATTATGGCATGGCTCTGCCCTCTGGGGGGTGATATCTCCCTTTCTGTGATTTCTGTCTCTCTCTGTCTCTCTGGCAAGTGCACACACCCTATAGCAAAAATCTCTCTTACAAAAAAAAAAAAGAAGAAGGACCAGCAGATGGTGTAATGGTTAGGTCGCTGGACTCTCATGTAGTCAACTTAAGTTTGAGTCCTGGACCGGGAGGCTTAAAACTCATGCCGGGGGCCAGCAGGTGGTGAGGTGGTTGGGGGTTCTGGACTCCCCATGACTGACCGTGGTTCAAGTCCCAGATCTGGTGGCTTGTTTTTTCACTTTCCCTCTCTCTCACTCTCACTCTGTTCCTCTCTGTTCAAATTAAAATAAATAAATAAAGTTAAATAAAATAATTATTTAAAAAAAATATTTATAAAAAAAAAAACCAGCTTGTCGGGTGCATGCCCAAAATCCCAACAGGAGACTGGAGGACAGGGGATTGCGGCATTGCCATCCTCCCTGGGGGGTGATTTCTCACTTTCTGTCTCTCTCTCTCTGTCTCTTTGGTGAATACACTCACCCTATAACAAAATCTCTCTAAAAAAGTAAATGAACAAAATGACTCTCATACAAATGTGGAATGAACACTTGTTAAAAATTTATTTAATGGGACCAGCAGATGTTGTAATGTTATATCACTGGGCTCCCAAATGGTCGACCACGGTTCAAGTCCAGGACCCAGTGGCTTCAAACTCACTCCATGTGCAAGTGTGTGCATGTCCAAAACCCTGAGAGGAGATGGGAGGAGAAGGGATTGTGGCATGGCCAACCACCCTGGGTGGGTGATTTCCTCACTTTCTGTCCCCCTGTGTCTCTGTCTCTCTCCATTGAGCACACACACCCTATAGCAAAAATTTCTCTTAAAAAAAATTAATTAATGAGGGAACCAGTAGGATGGTAAAACAGGTTCAAAGAGCATTTGATGAACTGTGTATTTATAGGCACTAAAGAAAGAATGTGGGGGGCCAGCAGGTGGCATGATGGTTAAGGTGCTCGATTCCCACATGACCAGCTGTGGTCTAAGTCCTGGACTTGACAGCTGGCTTTCTCACTTTCCCTTTCTTTTTGTCTCTGATGACCTCACGTTCTCTATAGCAAATTAAAAAGATAATAATTATTATTATTACAAATAAAATATAGAAAAAAGAATGTGGGAATAAGTTTGCTAGGTTAGACACAAAACTGGTTCATATACTCTAGGACATTAGAACTGGTAACCTTGGGACCAGCAGTTAGCGTAATGGTTATGTCGCTGGACTCCCACATAGTCGACCGCAGTTCGAGTCCCGGACCCGATGGCTTAAAACTCATGCCGGGCGCGTGTGCGTGCGTGCCCAAGATCCGGAGAGGAGAATGGAGGAGAAAGGATTGCGGCGTGACCATCCCCCCTGGGGGGTGATTTCTCGCTTTCTGTCTCTATGTCTCTCTCTGTCTGTCTGGTGAGCGCATGCGCCCTATAGCGAAAACCTC